CAGTTCATTTTTTCAAGTAACACAGTATCTTTCTGACGTAGAGCACTTGTTTCAGACAAAGTTTCAATACAGAGAGGTTTCCCTTATTTGATCCTCCCTAGATCAAATACTAAGTAAACTATTCTTTAGCCTCTCCTTAGACTAAAAGAATACCAGCTATGTTTCACCATTCGGCTGCACTAGCCTGAGAAACTTCCAATAGCCAAACCCAGCTTTTCAAAGCCTCAAAGCTTTGCTTCACAAGTTACTCCGCCACCTTTCCTTTCTTTCTCTCCCAACTCCTAACTCCTCACTCCTCTGAACCTAACTCCTCTAAACCTAAACCCTAACTGATTTTTAACTGTCGTTTTTTCAAACTCTCCCCTCTAAGCTCCTCCCACTTCCCTCTCTCCTGCATCGGTCTCCATGGCAACGCACATGGAGGACTCCTCTGACTTAGGCCGCTCCAGCATTACTGCAGCCAATCTAAACACAAATACAGTTAAAATCATACAATTTATAATCAACTCCTGTACAGGGTCTTTGAGAGTTCCAGTTTCCTAAAGGAGGGCAAGAAGCAATCCCCTGGGGAAAGATGTCACGACTATAATGCAAGAAGGGAGACTGTCAGAGGCCTCATGAGAGTCTATTGCTGTGCATGGATATTTGTGTTCAGTGCAAACTTGAGGATGAGTTAACGCCAAGGAGCAAAAGAGAGAAGGAACGAAGCCTTGGCTGCTTTGTGAAGGAGGATGGAGAGGCCTTCCAAAAGGCTGTCCGTTTCAGCCCGTGGAGGATGTCCAGAGCCCCACTGTGCGCTGACAAATCTGCAACGTTAATTACAGGTTGGGAATTAAGTCCCCACCTTCGCACTCGGAGCAACTAATTACCAGGTTCCAACACTGCATGGCTTCCCGGGGTGACAAGCGCGTCCTAGAAATGATACGAACGGAGCTGGGTTTAACTACAGATATCCGCCAGGTTGCAGTTTTGAGAAACGAGGAGGCTTTCTCCACACCTTCACCCTCAGCACTATTTTCAATGGGAAATCTCTACATAAATAAAATACCTACATAAATAAAATATTTACATAAATAAAAATATAATGTTTGTTTGTGGGATTAAAAAAGTAAAGGTTGTCCCCTGACATTAAGTCCAGTCATGTCTGATTCTGGGGTGTGGTGCTCATCTCCATTTCTATGCCGAAGAGCCAGCGTTGTCCATAGACACCTCCAAGGTCATGTGGCCAGCATGACCGCATGGAGCGCCGTTTAACAGAACTCAAAAACCACTGGACGGATTGACACCAAATTTGGACACAAGACACCTAACAACCCAATGTATGTCCTTCGCTAAAAAAATTGATTTTGTCATTTGGGAGTCGTAGTTGCTGGGATTTATAGTTCACCTACAATCAAAGAGCATTCTGAACCCCACCACCGATGGAATTGAATCAAACTTGGCACACAGTTCTCCCAAACTGGAAGGGTTTGGTGAGCAGTGTCCTTTGGTTTTGGAGTTGTAGTTCACCTACATCCAGAGAGCACTCTGGACTCAAACAATGATGGATCTGGACCAAATTCTACATGAATACCCAATATGCCCAAATGTTAACACTGGTGGAGTTTGGGGAAAATAGAATCTTGACATTTGGGAGTTGTACTTGCTGGGATTTGTAGTTCACCCACAATCACAGAGCATTCTGAACCCCACCAACGATGAATTGAATCAAACTTGGCACACAGTTCTCCCACGAACAACGGAAAATACTAGAAGGGTTTGGTGGGTATCATATGAAAGCTGATTGGCACAATCTGGGGATCACAACCAGACACAGTGAAGACATCTGCCCTTGCACTATGCTACTCTGCTGCTGAGTATGCATGGCCCAATGTGGAACACATATCACCATGCTAAAACAGTAGATGTGGCTCTTAATTAAACATATTATCCCCGTATTATCACGGGGTGTCTGCACTCTACATCACTGGAGAAATTACACTGTTTAGCCAGTATTGCACCACCTGACATCTGCCGGGAAGTAGCAGCCAACAGTGAAAGGACCAAGGCAGAGACATCTCCGGCCCATCCCTTGTTTGGGTATCAGCCAGCACGTCAATGACTTAAATCTAGAAATAGTTTTCTAAGATCTACAGAGACACTTGCTGGAACACCTCAGCAAGCGAGAGTCCAAAAGTGGCAGGCTCAAACCCAGCACCTCAATCCATGGCTGATACCAAATGAGAGACTCCCCCCTGGGCACTCAGAAGAGTGGGCGACTTGGAAGGCGCTGAACAGACTGCGCTCTGGCACCACGAGATGCAGAGACAACCTTAAGAAATGTGGCCACAAAGTGGAATCCTCGACATGCGAGTGTGGAGAAGAGCAAACTACAGACCACCTGCTGCAATGCACCCTGAGCCCTGCCACATGCACAATGGAGGACCTTCTTGCAGCAACACCAGAAGCACTCCAAGCGGCCAGCTACTGGTCAAAGGGCATTTAATCAACTACCAAGCTTGCAAACTTTGTGCTTTGTCTGTGTTTGTTTGTTTAAAAAATGCAATACAACTGTTTGGTCTGCTCCTAACACGATAAATAAATAAATTGTGTCCCATGTGGGTACATGGCCCCTGATGTGAATGTGATTGTGGTTGCTACGAAAGTGGAACATATTGTCATTCATTTTCTCGTGATCGTATTGTATTATTCTTTGGCACCGACAGATCGGGAAAGGTATTGGTGGGATATTCTTTCTGAAATGCCAGGAGAATCTGTCTGGTTTTGGAGACAATGGTTCTTGGTTTTGGATGTCCCAGTGCTTCTTCTCTCTGCTCAATCTGTACACAACTGCCTCTTCTCTCTTTCTCTCTTCCACCTCCCTTTTCCTCCCTTTCTCACTCCCTGTTTTCGAGAGAGAACATTTTCTCGTAGACGTTGTGCCAGCGATGCACTGCAAAGGCGATGCCAGAGGGGGGAAAATTGCCTTTGCTGGAATAATGCATGCCAGGGAACGGCAGCCTGCATCTCTCCATCTCCGTTCATCCCTCCTTTTCTGCATTAGCAATATAAGCCCACTGGATCGTTGTCTAGTTAATAACGAGAGGAAGGGAAAGATTCAGTGGTGAGGGAGTATCCGGGGTGGTGCGTAGTGCTCCCCGAGCCTCCAGTCACCGAAAGGGCTTTGTTTCCAAGGCAACGCCGTGTCTCCTAGCTGCAAAAAACAGCCACGAGGATGAATTCAGCCTATGGAAAAGGAAGAGGGTGATGGTGAGATGACAGCAGCGATGGGAATGGAGAGAGGCCCCAAGCAAGAAGGAGGCAGGCAAGCAATGGGTTGGCAACAGGGAAGCCAATCGAGCCAAGATGCGCTCGCAAAACCACACAGCGAGGCCTTCGTGCCTATATCCTGATCTAGAACACTCCAACCTAGACCACAATGGCCTA